AAGTTGCGATTTTCTAGGCCGATATGGCTAGGGACTATACTCTCATTCCAGCGTAATAATCAAGGAACTTTGCTGCCGTACCATGGGTGCAGCAGGCACAATGATATTACGCAGCGCCTGAAAATAGTCCCCAGCTAGGTAACTTCCGATAAGCCTATTTTCAGGCGCTGCGTAATATCATTGTGCCTGCTGCACCCATGGTACGGCAGCAAAGTTCCTTGATTATTACGCCGGAATGAGAGTATCCATTAAGTAGCCATATCGGCCTAGAAAATCGCAACTTTTCATTTTCCATCGGTCATAGTACACGATGTAACTACAGAAGAGTCAAGTTTTAAATAGGAAAAATATAGAAACTCTTTGGTCATTTTTGAGCGAGATGCTAACGGTCTAATCAGATTCAATAATCTATGCTAAGCTACAGCTAAAAGCTACATTTTCAAAAATAGTGGAGTGTTCCTTTAAGACAGAGGCAGAGAAGGTGAAACATGAAAACAGCACAGTCAGAGAGAGTGCATAACAAAAAAAAACAAGATACAAATACATGTAAATTCCAATTACAACTGCAACATTATGTGTGTGTGTGTGTGTGTGTGTGTGTAGATGGGGAAGGTGTCTGATGGAAAAGCTAATTTGGTGGATGGATCTACATGGGATTAAATTGAGTCTCTGTCTCTCTCTCTATCACTGAAATGGCAGCAATGAATTTTCAGCTTAATGGTTAGGGGAGAAAGTGTGTTTAAAATCCAATTACAGGACATTCATCATAAACAAGCGGTGGAGATAGACTAGTAGCTCTGCACGCACACACACACACGCAGCATGATGGTCATGTTGCAGATGAGGGTTATTTGTGCTTCAAACTCAATCTTTCTATCTAAAAATGAATCTAGTCCATCAAAAGCTGAAAATGTTTTAATGAAAGTGTGTGTGGGTGGGTGACAGAGAGCTGTACCTTGCTCACAGTTATCGCCCTTGAAAGCAGGAGCGCACACACAGATTCCATTGACACATTCTCCATTGTTGGAACAGGTGGGATCGATACACTGGCCTTCCTCCACCTCACACTCCGCCCCCTTCCATCCAGCATGACACACACACACACCTTTCTCGTAATCGCCGTTACCACTACACAGCACTGGGCAAGAGTCTGAAATATATAGACAAATTCATGAATAATCAGATCAATCAGATCTTTGTTACGTTGTGTACTCTAAGAAGTAATACTGTGTGAAAATGAAGAACGATAACTATAAAGATAACTATATTAGCGTCCACACCAATGCACAATAATGTTCTGTTTATTCAAAGAGTTATGTTGCCTGCTTCTTTATATGATGGATTCTGATTGGCTATCAATATTTTTGTCGCTTCATAAGCAAACGTTCTGCAAGTGATTCCAACGATATTGTTTCTCTGTGCCATCAACGTTATAGTTGTGGTGTGGATTCTTGCTATTTTTAAAACTATATTTATTGTTATAGTTATCATGCTTGGTGTGAATGTGCCTTTAGGCTTATAGTTTGACTGATGCTAATGTTGTTTGTTGGCTTTACTGTACAGATAAAATGTTGATTATGTCATTGCGTATTTGTGCAAAACTGTGATCATGTTGTGTATAATTATATTAGGTGTTACTATGTGATTATGTATATGTGACCCTGGAGCACAAAACCAATACAGTCTTAAGTCACTGGGGTATATTTGTAGCAATAGCCAAAAATACATTGTATGGGTCAAAATGATTGAGTTTTCTTTTATGCCAAAAATCATTAGGATATTAGGTAAAGATCATGTTCCATGAAGATATTTTGTAAATTTCCTACTGTAAGTATTTTAAAACTTAATTTTTGATCAGTAATATGCATTGCTAAGAACTTCATTTGGACAACTTTAAAGGCGATTTTCTCAATATTTAGATTTTTTTGCACCCTCAGATTCCAGATTTTCAAATAGTTGTATTATCCTAACAAACCATACATCAATGGAAAGCTTATTTATTCAGCTTTCAGATGATGTATAAATCTCAATCTTGAAAAATTGACCCTTATAACTGATTTTGTGGTCCAGGGTCACATATTATTGCGATAATACTGTTTATCATTGTGTGATTATGATGATGTGTGTAATTGCCTTCAGATGTACCTTTTGAACAATCTGGCCCCAGGAAGCCAGTAAAACAGTGGCAGTGTCCGGCGACACACTCTCCGTTACCGTTACAGTTAGTGGAGCAACCATCTATAGTTTCTGAACACACAGACACAATCCAATTAAATAATTCTGAAGTACACATCTATTTTGTGTATTGTTAGCAAGCATTTTTATACCCAAAAACATAATCGTGATGTAATAAGTTTGCTTATATTAAAAAGAAAAGAATTAAAATGAAGGAAAAAACAAATAATTATTGGTCTCTCACCTATGGGTGTGCTGTACACCACCACCTGTTCCATCTTTTGACCGTCATTATAGAAGGCCAGGTACCAGGTTCCCACATCAAGGTATTCCACAAAGCCCGTCTCCTGCAGAGCAGACACCAGCAGACTTCGCAGAGGAGGGTTCGGAATTTTGACATTCCGGGAATCCTGCTTAATCAGCTGTCTCCCGTCCAGCAACTTCACAAAGTCAAACTGGAGAAAAAGGACATAGAGTTATTTGTGTATCTAATCTAAATTGTGGTAAAAAGAACATAGCACAGATCGACAGTTGAATTCATGCCCTTGGCACTGACCATCCGTAACTTGGTGCTCTGTGTCTCAGCATCACTCTGTACTCTACCCCAGTGTTTCCCAACCGGGGTGCCGCGGCACCCTGGTGTGCTTCAAAGTTTGAAATCAAGCTATCTCGTGCTACTGCAACAAAATTACCCCACTGTAAAATCAAAAATACACTGAGTGAGCAAAAATATGTGAGATAGTTTAAGTTATAATGGTAATTAAATAATGTTTACATATGTATAAAAGCCTACATTAAAATCTGTCATATAAATTGGTCTCCTCATTAGAAATTAGCCTACTGATTGCCTCCATGGACAAAAAAATTAATAATATAAAAAATATCTGACATATATATATATATATATGAATGACACATTCTGCAGTTCTTCCCTGCTGTACTGAATATCGATACTTTTCAAAGAATCATGTAAGTTAGAAATTCAAATATTGTGACAAAATTAATTTTGTAGGGTGCCACAAATTTGTTAAAATTTCCAAAGGGTGCCGCAACTAAAAAAAGGTTGGGAAACACTGCTCTACCCTATGTCTCTGATGTTGATGCTGCCAACCTGGGCATAGTCTCCGAGGAAAACAAGCTCCTATTTATATGTCCAATACTTGCCAAAACATACATCCTACATAACTGGAAAAAGTAAATCAAGTATATCCACCCAACACTGGAAACAACCACGCTACATTGCATTCATCTAGGGAATGTGTCTGACAAACCCTCTGAATGCCTCCATGTCTGGCAATCTATTTTTAGATGCATTAATTTAAAAGCATGATACCAAACAAATTAATTATCTGCACCTGCAGGAAGTCTCCACAGGGTTAATGCATGGCACCCCATATATCGTTTTGTTCTTTTAATGATGAAAAAAACAAACAGAAAGTGTGAGCGAATAATAAAAAATAAAAACAAGATAAAAAACTAAGGAAGTATCAATTAATAATTGTAAACAAGAAGCAATACACAGTACAAGGTAAAATTAAGTAAAACAAATACTATGAACAAAATTGTTATTAATGCAAAATAAAATAAAAATACAGTAAACCAAGAAAGCAGCCATTAATAAGCGCCAACAAAGAAGTAATAGATTTAACAATGTCAAATGAGGTAAAACGAATGTAAACAAAATAAAACGAAGTATCTGTAGTGCAAAATGAAATGAAATACAGCAACAGTGCAGAGTAAACTAAGAAAGTAGCAACTAACCTAATTAAATTTAAACAAAGGAATACATTATACAATGACAATTTAAACAAGTACTGTTAAGACATAAAATGAAACATCTGTAGAGCAAAAAAAGTAATAAAATAACAGCAAAAAATAAACTTGGGAGTGTAAGAAATAAAAAAGGATTCCAGTAAAGAAGTAATAAAACAAGTAACAATTAAAAAGATAAACTAACAATGAAAAATAAGACTCGATTGGGCTGAAGGGTTCTAAGCACAATATGTAACATTTTCAATACGACATAGTTCACTAATGATGGCAAAGCACTATATATCTTCCGCTGTTAATGGCATTAAGCATGAGTATCTTCCGCACCCTCATCTGCTCCCCATCGTTACTGACATGTGTTACTGGTGGGCATAAACTAAGAACCATCCCCTTCCCCTGCTACAAC